CTGAAACAACCTCTGGGCTGATCTAAGTCAGGGAATGGGTAACTCACAGATCAAACCCTGAAACAACCTCTGGGCTGATCTAAGTCAGGGAATGGCTAACTCACAGATTGAATTAGAATTTAATAATTTTTTATCACTTCAGGAGGCAAAGGTGAGAAGTCAGCACCTGTTGGAAAAAGCAAATGAACAAATGGAAGAGCAAGAGGATGAAATCAAGAAACTGAACGAAGTAAATATAAATAATAGGAAAATTCTCCATATTTATACTAGCTTGTTTTATTATATTTTATTATATTATTTATGCTAGCGGCAATAAAAGACAAATTCCAATGTGCAACCTTCAAATACAAAGTTCGCATTATATTTAAAATTGTAGTAACATGTCATCACAATGCCTCCCTTAGTTAAGTATTTCTATTCTATGCACTAAACAGAGTTGCTCTTTATTATTATTTCAGTTGATCTTAAATGCTAAATGCCATGCTATCAGAGATGCACAACTAATAGAAAAAGTAGAAATCAAGAAAGAACTGCTCCAGGAAGACAAGCGCCTGGATGAAATGATGGAAGTAGAGAGACTTAAGGCACTAGTGGAGTATGAAGAACGGGAAAAGGCTAAACAGGAGGAGAGATTAGAAGGAGCTAAGGTTCTGAGGGACCAGATAAAGGACAATGAACAGTACCGTATGTTGGAGGAAGAAAGGAAAGACCAAGAGACAGTCGTAAGTTCATTATGTGTAATATTAAAAGTAATAATTTGGATTTTAAAACTCTGCACATGGGTGACGTGTAGCAGTGAGAGGGCTTGCCTCTCACCAACGGCAATTTGACCCAGCTTCCATTCAAGTATGTAAGTGGAGTTACTAGTGTTGTTCTCTTGTTTTCCTCCCTCTGCAAAAATCAACTTTTAAATCCCAATTCGTTCATGGGACAAGGGCCAGCAGTTTGTTAGCCACTGGCTAATCAAGTGTTACCCTCGTAACGCAAGGACGATTTATTTTTTAGCTTTACTCTTCTTTTTTTTTTTTTTTTTTTTTTTTTTTTTTTTTTTTTTTTTTTTTTTTTGAGTTTTTACCTCTAATTTATTGCAAATCATATTAAACCCTAAAATGACCTGACTTGCAAAGTTAGGACACAGTATTCATAGATTAGATGTTGCTCAACTGTTTCTTATCGAAACAATTCCAATCTTTCTGTTTTGTTTATTAGGCAATGCTCCAGTATCTGGACAAGCTGCAAGTCGAAGACATGGAAAATCTCATCAAGAAGAAAGAAGTGCAGAAATCTCTGATGAAAGACGTTGCAAAAGCCAATGAAGTAAGCTAAGATTTTATCTTACCAAAGCAATTTCATTTTACTATTAGATACAGTAGATATCAGTTTGATTACTGTCGAAAAGTCTCTTACGAAAACAAAGTGGCCACCTAGGGGAAGTTCTCAAGTGCTCATTAAATATAGCTTACTTAATAGAAGTATAAATATGTGTAAAAACTCTTTGGGAATTTGAAAACTGATCGCTAGGGCTGCGTTCATAATGTATGGCAGAGGGTAGGTAGGTGAAAATTTGAAATGTCCAGAATAATTCTCAACACCCCCCTTAAAGTCTTGCAAAAATACGATCCCCCCTAAGCAAGGCTTGTAGCTTCTTCCAAAAATTGTGCATCCACCGCCCATTTTTCTGATAAAAATTTGCCCATCCCCCCCCCCCCATTTTCCTACCAAAATTTTCCCGATCCCCCCTCAATTTCACCTGCCCTCTGCCATACATTATTAACGCAGCCTAAAAAAAGGTTAGTTGCTTATTATAATAGTGGGTTAAATTTGTGTTCTGAAAAACCCTCTTCAAGACTTTGACTAAGCTAAAGAGGTTATTCGCTCAATTGAGGCTTTCATAAAATCTAGCGACCCTGACTCGCCCCCAGTCGTCTTCTTACCTTCCCTCTACCCTTTGCGCGCTTCGATCAAAACAAGTGAGAGACGACTGGGGACGAGCCAGCTAGCGACCGTATGCCTGCTACCGCGCTAGACTTTCTTCTTTTCCAAGAAAAACAACGTTTTTTCTAAATAGACAATTTCATGGGTTTGTTATAGGAAATTCAACGCCAGAGAGAAGTGAAGAAACAACAAGAAGTAATGGAAGAAGTAAAAGTAATGGAATACCTGAAACAAAAGGCAGAAAGAGAAGAAGCCTATCAGAAGGAGCTGGAGAAAGCTAGGATTGAGAAAGAAAAGGAGATAGCTAGGCTTCGCGCTCAGCAGGAGAGAGCCAAGGATGTACAGGCTGAAAAAGATGCGTTGAGAGCCAAGAGAAACCAAGAAGAAGCAGAACGAGAATGGAGGAAGAAAGAGAAAGAAGAAAATGAGAAGAAGTAAGTTTGCTTTCAAAACTAGTTGTACTTTGTCTCAAAAGTTTATCGTTATTTCTCGTCATGCATTTTTCTTTTTTTTTTTTTTTTTTTTTTTTTTTTTTTTTTTTTTTTTTTTTTTTTTCCCTGGTCTGCCAATCTTTTCTTTTCTCACAAATCTAATTCCTTCACGTAGAATGAGAACGGAAGCCATGTTGAAGGCTGCAAGAGAAAATCAAGTCAAGAACAAGGAACATTTCCTTGCTGTTCAAGCGGCTAGAGACAGAGCTGAATTTGAACGTGTTCTAAAGTAAGTATATCCCACAATACACGTTTTAAATAATATTCCAATTCCTTTAGCTTTGCTTCTTTCTTTCTTTGCCCGCAAAGCTTGTCTGAAACATCACTGCACAGTTGTAAACTTTTGTTATACGGTGCTTTATGGATTTCTTTCTTATTCACTTAATATTTTATCGATAAAGAGGTTTGGAATTATAAAACTGTTCCTTCAGACGATTAAAAGGTGGGTTAGGAAAAGCTGAATCTGTATCTTCAATGCTAAAGGTTTAGATTTAAGGAGATTTGTTAAGCAGTTTGCTACGTTGGTGTTGAAAAGTCTTATTTTTGTTTTGACCAATATTTTTTTCATTTTATTGCAGAGCACAAGAAGAACAAAAGGTTAAAGACGAAGAATCAGACCAAGTAGCTTCCATTCGCCGCCATCAGTACGCCGATGAAGTGCGCCAGCAAATCCGAGAAAAGGAAAAAGATCGCGTACACGCGAGAAATGCGTTCTTTGAAGAAGGTATCAAGCTTGATCAGGAAGCAAAAGCAAGGTAAACCATTCAACTGTTAACCTATTAATTCAACCAATCACTATGCGTATGCAAGCTTACAAAAACAAATATGTACATTTGAGCATTTTTATCCTAAAAAGAGTAAAAAATATATAATAGTTTGATTTTTTCAAATAGTTTGATTTCCCGAAAGATTTAGATTGTCTTGTTCGCGGTAACTCTCCTTTGTCTGATCTTTTTTCCACTTCTGTTGTCGTTATTGCTACCGCTGCGTTTGTTGCTGTTGATAACGTCGTTGTTTTACGCCGTAACAATTTTTTTCTAACCAACCTTCTTCTTTTTTAGGAAACAAAAGCTTGACGACATCAAGAGACGAAAATTGCATGAATTAAAACACGCCGGCGTCCCGGACAAATACTGTAACGAAGTAGCTCGTCGTATTGAAGCTCCCCCGCCATCACTATCTCGACTTTATTAAATAAATAACTCTCAACTTTTCAAGAAAAAGGTTTTCGCTATTCATAACTTTAAGACCAAAAAAATATGTAAATATAATTGTCAGGCAGTTTGTCTTGGAACTTGGAATTTTGATTTATTTGTAAAGAGGTTTTTAGTTCAATAAAAGTCAAAGATTGAAAAAAATTCTACTGGTTTCAACGTTCTTCGATGTGCAGTGTTTTGCGTTTTTGTATTTTACTTAATTTAACTGAACAAATGTAAATAGAGTTTCAAAATTAAAACTTGTATAACTAAAGTGGGTGAGGTTGTTCGTCAATTTTGCATTAAAAGCTTGAATAATTGTGTTTCTTGTATCAAAAAGTTAGTTAGAAAAATCTTGCATTTAGATGAGCTTTGCAAAAACTTAAACATGTCAAATTTCAATAGAACGAAAAACCAGACTAGGTAGAAATTAAAATCCAAAGCAAGCGAAAGTTTTTGTTCAACCTGATATTTTGGGTTACAGCCGGTTACGAACCCATATTAGGGGCTGAAAAAATAAACAAAACAAGCTAAAAAGTTAATATATATCTGACTTTAAATAGGGAGTTATGCCGTCAATTTTTTGTGGCGGTATTTTGTAGATATGAAATGGCGGTTCTGCGCCACGGGCCCCGTCGGGCTACCCCGGGCCCGCAGTAGGGGGGAGGAGGCGTTCTACATCATCGAGCTCCGGAGCCGCTTCGGAGCCAAAGGGGGGTACTTTTTAGCCTTCTGCGGATTCGGCCGGATGACGTCATGATTTATTTTGATCACGTTCGTCTATATTTTATGAAATAGGAGTTCTGCATCAGGACCATCTGGATTCATTGCGGATAATCAATTAGATCCGGATTTTCCACTCGGTCGCCTTCGGATCTCGGATTTCGGATTCATAGGGGTTTTGAGATCATATTCTATATTTATTTTTGGGGCTCTTCATACAGAGAGAAATTTCAACGTGTTTTTCTAGTTTTCGCTTGATCTTTTGATCTGCGTGATTGACAGTTAGATTCGCCTTAATGCAACTGTCGCTGAGATATGCAAATAATGAATAAACGTCATGCATCATGAGAAATTTGATTATATTATATCTATTTCGATCTCGTATTTGTGAGAAATGTTTGAAAATATTTTAGCTAAACTCGAAAGTTTCCAAGTCGCCCAAAATCGTAATTTATGACCTCGATTTCGCAGTTTGCGGTTTCTCTGGTCAAGTAGAAGATCATTCCGGCAATGATTATCAGACGTGAATTTGTTAAAACTTGCTTTATTGTGCATCATATCATGTGTAACATAGGCGCTGAATGCAGTAAATATTGACCACATATGGTGTTTTTCACTCAAGTTTCTTTATTTTGCATATTTCAGTCACGGCAGTACAACTTTATTGGTTTACAGTTTAGTTATATCAACTTTTTTCTAAGCTATTATCTTACATTTAAACAGTGCTCGGCATGTCTGCAATCATGAGAAACTTTTCTAAGACTTTTCACAAAGTTTGAAAAAAATTAATTGTACATTTTTTGGCACTCGTTTCAAACAACTGAATTTTCAAGAACTAGATAAATAAGAACTAGCTTTTATTCATGACTACATTTCTCAACATGATTTTGCCAAAATATTTTTGATATATTATAATTATACTTTTTTCATCATCGTTTTAGTGAAACGATGTATGAGATATGTTTTATCTTTTGAGTTTCTACGTGGAAACTCCCGCCAACTTCACAGGTATTCAAGCAAAGCATTAATCAGTGACTGTATACTCTATATGTAGACAGGCCCAATGCTAATTATTCTACTAAGCGTCAGTTCAAGTAAAGGTCAGTAAGAATTGTAAAGTAGTGTGTTTAATATTCCCGCCAAGCCTTCAAGCTCAAAAACAATGTCTGCGGACGAGAAAAATCCAGCTTTTGAGTCGGAAAGTCTGACCATAAACGATACCACTAAAGAAGCTATCACTTTAAAAAGGTCATTAGGAGTCCCTGGCGGTGTGGCTCTTCTCGTAGGCACTATAATTGGCTCTGGTATCTTCGCTACCCCAAAATGGGTCGTTATATACTCAGGTTCAGTTGGTCTAAGCCTTGTAGTATGGTCACTGTGTGGTTTGATAAGTCTTCTAGGAGCTCTTTGCTATGTAGAGTTAGGGCTTCTCATTCCTAAGTCTGGAGGCGAGTATGTGTATCTCATGGAAGCGTTTGGACCTCTCCCTGCGTTCTTGTTCTCCTGGGTATATTCTTTGCTTTTGAAAAATGGCGGTGTTGCTATTCTGGTTCTTGTCTTTGGATCCTACGTAGTTGAGCCTTTTTATCCTGGATGTACAGACCGACAAGATTTGGTACAACTTCAGAAACTCCTAGCAGTTATAGCTTTAGGTAAGAGAAACTAAGTTTGCAATGAATTGTATTAATAATTCGATTCTATGCAGTACTCAAGCGAAGTGGGAATCCTAACCAAGACAATGTTTACAAAAACATTTATTAGTGAGGTTAAAAATTCAACATTTTTGCCTCCCCACCCCCCACCCCCCTAAAAGGGAATGACAAATAGAGCGTGAAAAAAGGACTTCAAAATAAAGTAAAAATGTTAGAATTTTGAATTTAAGGCCCCGGTTGTATCCCAGGTCGTATCCGCCAATTTTCGAATACGTTGACGTAAACACGATTTTGCGAATGCTCAATACGAAAACCTATCCGTCAAAGGCACTAGGCACTAGCGTGCATCAGCGGATCAAAAAATTTCCGGATACGTGTGGACAGTGAAAACGATTCGAAAACGAATCGAATACGCTGCGTGTGGACGCGAGCATTTTCGCATCCGCAAAACCAAATTTGGGGATACAAAATTTTCCGGATACGTGTGTCCAAAACCAGAATATTTATTCATATAAACGTATTTATGTTTTTGTCTTCTGACACACTAGGGGTGGTTATCGTCGTTAACTGCGCAAGCGTGAAATGGGCAAGTCGGCTGCAGATCGGACTGACTGTTGCCAAGATGGTTGCCATAGTGATGCTGATATTGACTGGCATCGTGAGAATCGCACAAGGTTTGCAAACACTTTAAAATCCATCTATATCATTTTCATTATGATGTTATCGCTATTACCAACATTACTATCATCAATAGGAGAAGCATTACCAATATCATCATGACCATCATCATCATCGTCATTATCATTAGCAGCAGCATCATTTTCACCATATCATTATTATCATCATCATCATCACCAATAATCAGCAGCAGCAGCACATGACCCACATTATCATTATCTATATGTTAAGTGTATGCTACATCGAGTGTATAAGCAGATTAAAAAATCTGCCTCAGTTGGGTTCTCCCGGGACTCGAACCACTGACCTCTCGTTTGCTAGACAAGTCCCGCGAGAACCCAACTGAGGCAGATTTTTTAATCTGCTTATACACTCGATGTAGCATACACTTAACATATAGATCTTTACCGAGTGACAAAAACACATTTCGTATTATCATTATCATTATCATCGTCATCACTATGATTATCAACACCATTATGCATTATATTCATCCAGCATCATTAATTACCAACATGCATTATCAAGTCATTATATAATACTGTCATCATAACATTCACCATGTTTCCCGTACTAACACTGCTATCATATAGTGTCATCACATCATCATATAGTATCATCATCACCATCATCAATATCATCATCATCATCATCATAACCATCACCTTCACCATCACCATCATCATCACCATCCTCATCACCATCCTCATCACCATCATCTTCACCATCCTCATCACCATCCTCATCACCATCATCTTCACCATCATCATCATCATCACCACATCCATCAACCCCACCATTGCATCCATGATCACTTCCCCATGACCATAACTTTTCTCTCATTGATGCCCCATTAAAACTCTTTCCCCAGGTCACGTATCTAGTTTCACCAACGCGTTCAAGGGCACAGAGCCAAGACTAAGTGTCATTGGATTTGCTTTCTACAATGCTTTGTTCTCATACGATGGATGGTAATTAAATCACACACGTACACACTTCAATTATTCTTGAGCCTAGAAGTGAACATAAGGCCTTTAACCCGCTTTGCAACTAACTAAACTGTTCATTAAACGTCAGGCCCATCGCAAGGACTACTGAGGGAGGGGGGGGGGTGGTGAATTTGCCATATTTTGCCATGAATGCAAAAATATTCACTACACACGAGTTTCACATGCCTCGAGTTTGTGTAAAATATTTATGTGTTCCAATGAAGGTCCGTTTAATTTCAAATTTAAGTCGTGCATTCTTTACTTTACCGTTTGTATTTGTGAATATCTTCCCTTCATAACTAATAATTAATAATGATTTATCATATTCTATTCACAGGAATAATATCAATTACGTAATAGAAGAATTCAAGAATCCAAAAAGGTTCACTTTTTCTCTAACAGAAATATAGCTTTAAAATTATATAGTTCTCCCTATTTTTTTCCATCGTTCGTTCGTTCGTTCGTTCGTTCGTTCGTTCGCTCCTTCCTTCCTTCCTTTCTTTCTTCCTTCCTTCCTTTCTTTCTTCCTACCTTCTATTTGGTTGCTTACCGTTAACCAGGGACACAAGGGAAATTCCGGTTGGAAAGACAGGTGGTATGTATCATTTCAATCGAAAAGGTCCGAAAAACTCGGTCTCTCGATTGTAGGTTACACTTTTCCCGCTCTTTTTGGTTCTTCCCGCGGTAGACGCGTGTACCATTTGTCGGTAATCAAAGTTTCCCGCTCTTTTTGGTTCTTCCCGCGGTAGACGCGTGTACCATTTGTCGGTAATCAAAATTTCCCGCTCTTTTAATTTCGGTTTCTTTTCGGTGCCATTTGATTCTCGCTCTGCATGTATCATTATCAGCAAACCAATTCCCAGCCGGATACTTGGTTTTAAATGTTAAGCACCCTCAATTCTTTATTTCCTTTCTGTCTACCATCTTTTCTCCATTTCTTCCTTCTTTCTCTTTTCTTTCTTTCACTAGTGTATTTCATTTTTCCCGTCAACTTTGCTTCTTTCTTTTTCTCTCAACAACAACGTCAAATAAAAATGTCATTCCGAATGCTGTTTTTTAGAAACCTACCGCTGTCCATCTGGATTGCAGTTCCTGTTGTCTCTGCTTCGTACGTTCTCGTCAATGTTGGTTTCTTGACGGTGCTCAGCGGAGATGAAGTTATGAAATCCAATGCCGTGGCTGTGGTAATTATCATCAATGCATTATATCCGTACACCTGTCAAAATTTCTTTCTGGACATCGAATATAGGGTGTTCCTGTTTTGATAAGTACTCCAGTTTCAAGTTGTCTGTTTGCTCAGGGTTAGCTCAGAATTTGTGTAGAATAGGACGTTTGCATGATGGCGTCACTGACCTCTACTACCAGACTCCCTTGCACACTTACTTTTATTCAGTTAATTAGCACCAATTGTCTTACTATTCTCATAGCGGCGATGCATGTTGGTGCGTTACCAAATTATTTCTCATTAGAATCCATTGTTTATCGCAACAAGATGGCCGCCATGCATGTCCTTGTCTTTTGAATTTCTTTGGAATGCTTTCAATCATCAATATTCACGTGTTCCAGTGAAGGTTCGTGGATTTTCGAAGTGTTTGTATTGTTGAAGCTGTGCATTCTTAATTCACTTTACCGTTTGTATTTGTGAATATTTAGACGCCGAAACAAAGCTAACCCTGAGTGAATCAGTCTGTAATCATTAAACGCAGCGGTGTTATTTACAAATTTCATTTTTTGTTATTCTTTATTAGACATTAGCGAGCCGTTTGTATGGTGTAATGGCCTGGACTATTCCATTCCTTGTTGCCTGTTCTGTCTTTGGTTCTGTCAATGGCAGTGCTTTTGCTGGAGGAAGGTAAGCAGTGAGCTACGATTTGTTTGTTTGTTTGTTTGCTTGCTTTCTTGCTCTCTTTTTGTTGAATTCTCTGCGAATTTTTTCTTTAATTTTCTTTATTTTTATACCTGTCTCTGTGTCTCTCTGTTAATTAACCAATTTGGTTGTCTACCATCTGTTTTGTCCATCCCGCGTTTGCTTGTCTGTAACTCGCTTGCCAGTCTGTCTGGCAGAAGACTGGCCTACGATGTGCCGTTTGCTCATCGTAGAACCTACTTAGCAATGTAATGTTTTCATAAAAATACAATGAATCGCAACTAATAGAGCGTTTTCACGTGACATCACAGGGGCTATTGTGGGGTACCAAAACAATACATTTTCTATCCTCCAGGAATTGAACTCTATTTTTATGCAAATACCGTGCAGAAAGTTTCTATTGTTTATGGCTGCCTTCTCTCCATAGTCAATTAACTATGTTCTCACGCGAGTGAAAACGCTCTATTGATGGGTTGCAACATTCCCAAAAGAGTTAAAAGACAAAAACATGGCGGCCATTGTGGTACTGTTAACAATTTGATGCTAATGAGAAATCTTTTGTTAAATGGTACCAACATGGCTGCGATGACGTAACGGACAAACGAGGAATACAGAATCGATAGATTTTCTGAAAAACATTACATCAACTAAGTGCTATGTAGCTTCTTCCACTTGCTTTTCAATAGTTTACAATTGCCCTATTCCACTATGACGTCACATCAAAGCAATCTATTGTTTAAACGCAAAGGATCATGTTCGTCGGACGGGATCAAATCAACGCAAATTCACCGAAAATTGTTCTAAAACGCGTATCAATACACGAAGAGAAGTAGAATAGCCAGCAAATGGTCAGAATATTTTTTAGTACATATTAACACATATTATATCTGAAAACCAGGCCATTTTAGATTCAACTGTTTCGCTAGGAGCAAATTTTGTTAAATTTTCTATTGGATTTGGCGATTCTATCCCCCACATAAACAAGCAGTGACGTCCTAGTGAAATAGGGCAATTCTAATTTTTAGTTTGTTTTGATATCTCGTTCATCATTTAGATTAATCTTTGCCGCCGCTCGCGAAGGCCACCTTCCTCAGCTCCTCGCCATGATACACACCAAACAACGAACTCCTCTTCCAGCCCTACTGACATCGGTATGCTAATATCATAAATTTATCTAAAATAATAAATAAATAGTCTTCTTTATTATTCAAAGCATGCTGCTGTTTTTACGTGATAACCACAGATTCATTTATACATGCATATCTATCTTTGTTTCAGTATATTTATTTTTAAGTCCGTGGGATTTCGAGACATTGATATTGTCAAAGTTGCACATGCTTCATACAATAGAAAATGAACTAAGAGAAGGAATCCCCCCTATATAGCCTCGTAACCATCATGTGCACAGTTTGATGCTATTTTTAAACCATTCGTTTTTCTGCACGCGCAACCGGGAGAACAAAAAAGAGCGGGAAAAGTGGATGACCTATCGAAAGACCGAGTTTTCTGGAACATTTCGATGGGAATGACACGCACCATTTGTTTTTCCAACCGTAATTCCGAGTTTTTTTAGGGTAAATGGTAAGCACCACTGGTTTACCAAGACATTTTTTTCAGTTCATTATTTGTACAATCATGGTGATCCCAGACACATCTTCCATCGCTTCCCTCCTCAACGCTTTCAGTCTCCTGGTCTGGTTCAACTATGGCGTAACTCTGTCTGCTCTTCTATGGTTGAGGTACAAAAAGAAAGACAGCGAACGACCTTACAAGGTATTCAAATCTCAAATTCAATTACAAGAAACATAATTTATATAAAAGAGGACATAATAGATGGCATAGACAAGGATGAAAAACGTATGCGCATGCGTCAAGGATGAAAAACGTATGCGCATGCGCCAAACTGTCTAAATAGACATGGCCATGGAAAATTTCGTATCTGTGTGAATTTCGAATTTGTCGTCCCGAGGGTTTTTAGGAACGAGCATTTTAGTGCAAGTATAAATAATAAAAGTCTTACATAGAATTAAAACAAACAATAGACATTGGTTGATAGCTCAGATGAAAATAATTTTTTATTTTTTCTAGGCCTTCATTAGTTTATCGTCGTTATCCCTTTTTTTTTTTTTTTCTACATTTTTTATCCCCTGCACTTTTGTACCTTTTTTTAGAAACTATAGCCATGTTAAACGTTATACCTACACTTCCAGAATTCTATTCGGTAGCTTTTTTTGGTATGCTAATGTTCACTGTCTTGGTATATTATATTTTTAAAGGATCGAGTTTTAACATTTGAATATGAAAAAAGATTTAATTGAAAAGATTGTGGTAGTTAAGGTATAAAACGTCATCAGATTTTGGGCCTATTTTGGAAACCAAGTTAGTCATCGTGAGCCCGCGATTTTACCCACGACCGCTGACTCGTTATTCCAGCAGCCCTGTCCAGTCATTGAACCATAGTTCTCTATATCAATCTTACGTCTAAATAATTTGTTGGTAATTTCAGGTGTTTATCGTTTTCCCATGCCTACTTATCTTGCTGTCGATCTACCTCGTGGTTGCTTCCTTCGCACAGTCTCCAGTATCTTCCACATTATGCTTTCTTTTTGTTCTGGCTGGGATCCCTGTGTATTTTGTATTTGTTCGCTACAAATTCGTCCCAGGATGCATTGGTAAGCTTAACTGAATAAATGAATTTATTTGGCCTACTTGCCTACTGACCGACTGACAGACAGACTGACCAACCGACTGACGTCGACTGACCGACTGACCGTACATAGGTATAGATAACATTAATGTCACATTTCTTTCCAGATCGAGTGACTCTTTGGCTGCAGAAGTTCCTTAACGTTGCTCTACCACAAACAGAGAAAGACTTACTTTAAAACCATCTTCTTCAGTGGTCGAACGCAAAGCACATAGTAGAGACTGCAAAGTAGACACTTCACCAAGCATGGTGACGTAATTTTACTCCGTACAATTACCAGAATCCTTTGCAAAATTTTCTTATTCATTCAAAATTGTATTCTTTGCCCTTGAGAATAACGACGAAATGCGCACAAATAGTCGTAAAGGCTGCGCAAAGGCTGGTAGTACTGAGTTGCAGTATGTAGAGCTAAGGGGTGGTCACGTGACTAAGTACAACTTCTTATATCGGGAAACGAGAGAAAACCAGCTAACTGCGCATGCTCAAAGTCCGCATGCAACTGACCCCAATGCTGCTCTAAAAATATCCAAACTTTTTTTAAACTTGTCTTGCAAATTAACTTTAAAATTGAAAACTTACGTTATAATTAGCAAATTCTTTCAAATTGTTTTAACAATTAAGTATCTTGGTCCCACAAAAGCATGTATACTCATATTGACAAATTTGTTCGTATATTCGGGAAAACGACATTTATTTTCTAAAAAAAAACCGCTAGAATTCCGTCTTAGAGAGCGTGCTTAAATGCACGGTACGAGTGTTAAACGCTATCAGATTGTTCCAGCAAGGAACTTTATCTTTAGGCCATACCTAGAGGACCACACATTTAATGACAAGGAAAACTTCAGAAAGTAACAAAGTAAATAATAAATAAATCAGGATAAATCATTTTTTACAAAGCAACAAACTGATTTATCCTGGTCTTTTAGCTACCAGTTATTAATAAACCAGAAAGTTGGGGGGGGGGGGGGGG